TTTCCCTTCCCTGTCAGTCTCTCTGCATTTTTCTGCATTTTTTTCATCTTCCCACATATTAACCATCTACCTACCTACCTTTATCTGCTCCTCTGGCATCATCTTTGCATCCTTTCCTCCTCATGGCAGCCTCTCCCTGGGAATAGTCTGGTCCAGCCACAGGGTGACTAGCAGGGCTGGGCCCAGCCGTACACTGGCTTCCACAAGTTAGCTGAGTGGTGTGGGCATTTTATTTTATTTAAAACATTTCTGTGCTGCTTTCTACTCAAATATAGTCCCCAAGGTGCCGAACATCAAAACATTTCACATTAAACACATATAAAATAAATTATATGTATGTACAATATATATGTGTGTGTGTGTACAATAATTCAATAAAAACATATAAAAGACAACACCAAAAACCAGAGAGAAAACCAATAACAGTTAGTTCCTTGAATTTATAAGATTTGATCACCACTGTATTTCTAGAGGCAAAAACTCTTGAGTTGTGTCCTACTATTCTGTTCAGCTAAGCACGGAGAAGAGCTTCTTGCCCCAAAGGAAGGCTCAATACTTAGCTGAGCATAGGATACACACCCCTATTCCTAAGTGGCTCTTCCATCCATCCATTTGTCACTTTTTTAAAAAAAAGAGAGTAGTATAGCATGTTAGAGACAAACAATGCAATCCTATGCAGAGTTACTCTGAATATCTGAAGCAACAGCTACCTACTGCTGGGGGACTGATTACTACTGCAGTGGCAGCACTTAATGCCAACAGCTGTATACAGTAAATAGCAGTCAGGGGTTCTGGATCATCTGCCTTTTATTAGATCTTCCTCTATGCTGCACAACCCAAAGTAAAGGCAGCATTTGTATAAGCAAATAGAGTTGCTTTGCTTTTCTACTACTTCATAATCAGTCTTCTGCGTAGGGAAGTACAATTTCTCTTTAATATACGACAGGTATGATGTAAAACCAATTACTGAATGTGTACTTTGATTCATTGCTGTCAAACAAGTTAAGAAACAGAAACTTGATTTCAAGGCTTAGTAAACATTTAAGCACTTTATAAATAAATAATCCATATCTACAACTGTAAAAATCTGGTTTCTAACTGTGATGATCCTAAGTTTGATTGATGTACCTACTCCCATTTTACAGTCCATTGGAGGGGCCAGAACAACTTGCCAAGCCGCCCGTCCTAACTGGTACCTGAATATGTTCCATTTTCTTTGATTAATATTGTCTGTCACATGGTAGAGTAAGCAGGTGTATTTTATACAGCCTATCTGCTCTCCTGGGAATTTAAAGGCCAATAAGTTTGTTAGAAGTGTGGTATTAAGAATGTAATTCATGAATTGCTTAGCTCTAATTGACTCACAGACCTGGAGGCCCAGCTGTACGACCTTGTTAGCAAAATGGGATTGTACAGACTTTTAAAAAGATATGGGACTGGAAACTCACTCTTTTTTCTCTCCCTGCATTAGATTCTACCCAAAAATTGGCCGATGCTGCTTCAAGTCAATGGTGGCTCAGAAGCCATGCATTCAGTACCATTTTAATTTCTGTATAATGGTCCAAATAACTTCAAGAAATATCCTGCAATACTCACAAGATTTCATATGTAGAAATAAAAGGCTGGGTTATAAAAACAATGTCATTAGCATACAGCAGGATTTTAAAGCTTACATTACTGAATTGTTTTTTTATTTCTACTAGAGATTCTACAGGCTCAATTGCCAAATGAACAACAAGGGAGACTTGCAGTGGCTCCTGCACTCTGGATGGCAGGAGAGGAGCAAGCTCACCATGGTGGGGGGTGGGGCTGGGACCCCTGGTGACAGCTCCCATTTATCTGGTGCTGAGTAGTCCAGGGTCAAGGTAGCCTTGGCAGGGGAACAGGCCCCCAGGACATTTCCCAGGGGCTTTAATGATCAATCCACCCAACACTAACAACATCTGCTACATTCCCCAAATTTTCATCACACGTTCCCAGTATTCTATCCTACTCCAGCTTAATTGAAAAGTGGAACACAAGGCATGGATATCGGGCTTTTCTGCATTTTTGGAGGGAGAGGTCAGTTCTGGCCCCATACTGCTTGGTTTACCCCCTGATTTCTGTACCCATTTTTGTACCTTTAGTTTTTGCTTGTTCCGTTCCCTTTTTTGTGTGGGGGGGTTTCTTTTGAGACCCCTTTTACCCCATTATTTTTCTGGAAACTAATTTTGAGTTGCCTTTTTTCCTCATATTTAATGCTTCTGTCAGGGTTTTTGTCCCACCCACCTGCAATCCACTTTTTGATGATTGGACTGTTGTCATCATCAAACCACTCCCTCTCCCCATCTGCCTTGAAGAGAAGTGGCTCTGTTTTAGACTTAAAAAAAAAAAAAAAAGTATACAACCTTTATATCAATATACCATTGTAATGATAGGTTTAGCAAGTTCTCTAAAGTTTTCATTTTGGTGTTTTAAAGTAAGTCTATAGCACCTCCCCTTGTGGAGATATGTCTTTTTCCTTCTATCTCCATGAGGGAAGGAAGTAGGGACTTTTTTTTGTTTTTTAAATGAAAGCTGGGCATCCAGAGAACCTGCAAAACCTATCATTACAATGGTATATCAATATAAACATGCACAAAAACTAAAAAGGGGAGGATCGTTGTGACACCACTGATGATGCCATCCATGACAACAACACCGCCTCTTGAAAATCCTGATTATTTATGGCATGTGTGCAAGAAAATAAACTGACTTCACAACTGTGAAAATGCAGAGTTAGGGCAGATATGAAAGAATCATGGCCAAACCAATTCCAATGTTTACAATTGTCAAGAAAATCAGGAGTAAATCAAGTGTGCAGAAAACCACACACATATGAAGGAATTCTGTAAATAGAAGCTAGCTCTCATGGAGTTCTATTGGGCTACCTTTTATCGGGTTTTATGGGACAGCTCCCTTTGAGTTTTAATAACTGCTGTCAGAGATACAGCAGAGAAGAAGCAATACCTGCTTCTTGTTCCAAATACTGGTTTCACTGGCAGCAGGCCTCTAACCCAAAGGTATCTATGAGTCTAAACTTGGCTTTTCAGAAATAATTGACCACCCAGCTGAAAACAGCTTTGGGAGGCGAAAGGAATGGAACCTACTTTGGAACAGGGGTAGGCAATGCACTAAAGAAAGTTTTAAACTGGGGAATGACATGCAGGAGAAAAGACTAAGGGTCTGAAGTCTTCCTCCAAGCACCATCCCACTTGCCTTTTTTATTCTGTCAACCAAAACAAAATATCACTTTATTTTGAAATTAAATTGGACGTCTGTTACCACATCACTTCACTTGTTAAATTGAAAGATGGATGCTTCATATTTGTCACTGAGTAATTAAAAAAACCAAGTTGTCTCAATTTCTTCAAAATATTTACATCTTGCCTTTTAATTTAAAATATCCTAGAGGACTAATAAGAATCACACATTTTAAACAAATCTTCATAAAATCCACCAGTATAAACAATAACAGCAGGGATATCCAGCTAACAGCTGTTACAAGATGATACAGTAATAGGCTGACAAGAATACACTTAAAATTAAGTGTAGAAATATCATTAATCTTATAAAGGTGCAGGAAGTGAACCCATATTTATTTATCCATATTCTTAAATAATGTTTAAGGAGTTAATTTCAATTTAATATACATATTTTATTAGCAAAAATACAGAAGCTAGAAAAACATGATTCAGCAAATTGCTGGGAGAAAAACAAGCACCATATTATGGTAAACCTTCTTACCTAACAGCATCTGTGTCAAACTGCAGATTGGGTTTGTCAATCAAACCTAAGGAATAAAGCTGATAGGCCAAAGCACACTTCCCAACCATAAACTGGGCTGTGTTTGTGCGGTCCAAGCAGTCAACACAATTGGTTCGAAGAACTCCAGTCTAAAAAAGAAATTATTCTAATAAATGTAAGGACCTACTAATTAAAAAAAAATGTCAATGACATTTTTCATTACGAGTAGAAAAGAGCAAGAGTCCAGTAGCACCTTAAAGACTAACAAAGTTTGTGGCATTGTATGAGCTTTTGTGAATCTCTGCTCACTTCTTCATAAGTTTTGAAGAAGTGAGCAGTGACTCACGAAATAACATACCCTGCCACAAATTCAATAAGTCTTTGAGATGCTACTGGACTCTTGCTCTTATCTTCTGCTACAGACACATGGCTACTCATCTTGAATTTTCATTGTATAGTGGTTAGTGTTAGACTAGAGATCCCAGTCTGCCATAGAAGCTTGTTGGGTGTCAGCTAGCTGCCATTGTCATTCCGGTTCCTGTGTAGTTTCCTTCACCACCACCCCCTCTCATTCCTTGTTTACTTGAGTATGTTATGTAGTCCGCGGAACTCGCCAAGGTTGTGCAGCTGGGTGTAGGAGGGAAGCTTCGCCCAGAATGTTTTGGGTATCTAGCATGTGAACTGAACCTGTGTTGACATTATAGAACTGTTGCGTTCCCATGCAATGGGCACGAAATGTATGATATATTCCCGCCAGCGGGAACTGGGCTCATTGGTCCTTACCTGGTTCAAATGTCTATATTATGCCTTCCCTGGTTACCTGTAGTTATTCCTAACAATGTCCTGTTCTGGTTAAACCAACGCTTTGAAATAAACCTTGCTTGCTTTTCAACATGGAGTTATTTTGAATGCTTGGGATCCAACACTGGGTGACCCCGGACCAGCCAACACTCAGCCTAACCTACCTCAAAGGGTTGGTAGTTAGGAAAAAATGGATGAGAAGAGAATCATGTAAACAGTTTTGGGTCCCCGGTGTCTCACTGTGTCTGCTTGGAGAGCCGAGGAGGCAGTCAAGCAGCAGGGCGGCGAGCAGTGCTGCCACCCAGCTGTCTCTTCCTTAGCTCTCCTTGGAGGAGAGTCACTTGTGGTGACATCACTAGTTACATCACCATGTGGGGGGCCACGCCCCCTCAATCTCAAAGCCCCCACTGGAATATTTCCTGGCTAAAGGGCTGGCTAAAATAGGCCTGGAAAGAGCCCTCTCTGCCTTTTTACTTACAAAAACCCAGCCTGGAATGCTGTGGTTGCATAGCAGCAGCCATTGAGGGAATCTGTTGCTTAAAGCTACAGGTGCTCCTTTAATAATTTTCAAGTTTTTTTTTTAAATGTACTTTTTTTTTAGATTTCACATTTTCCTGCAAACGTTGGGTCCTTTTCAGGTTTGTAGAAAGATCCGTCTTGCCAGTTCACAGCTCCTGTCACCAGATTTAAGTATTCTCAGATTTGGCCAACTTCACTATTAGTATACAGATAATTAAAGAACGGTTCAGGCAGATGACATTCACCCAATCCTAAAGAACAATAATAGTTATCTTGTAGATGTTTTTGACCAAATACCGAGCCGTATTAAACAACAGCTGTAAAATCAGTTTCAGTTCAATACCTGTAAGCGGCCAGTGTGGTTCACACATCCTCCCAACTCATTCCACCTGTAAAAAAATAACATAGTATCTGGCAGGGCATATACTGTAAGAAATATATTCAGCTGACATTAGAGATGTCTTAAAGCAACATTAATGGCTAAAATATGCAATAGCAGTGGGTTGCAATTAGTTCACAAATGGATTTCTATGATTAAATCCAAGAGGAGAGAAAAGCCACAGTTTAGCTAACATTCTGCTCTGCATTATATTGAGAGTGAGGCAGCTCTTTTCTTCCCTCTGAAAAACAGATAAATATAGGGGTTTCTCCTTGCCTCCAATACCTCAAGGAAGATAGGAGGCAAGTATCCACTACTCCTTATCTTTCGACATACGCGACAGGTAAATACGGGCAAGAGGTAGCTCAAGAAACTTAGCTTGTGCACTCCTGTTCTCTAGAGCCAGATCTACTGCGTAATGATCATGAGAAGCAGAGAGAGGGCATCTGGAACTAGCCTAGACATTACTGTTCCTCTGACTGCACTGCTTTCTGAGTCTATTAGACCTTAAACAAGGGACATCAAACATGTGGCACAAGGGCCAGTGAGTAATTGTCTTTCTCCTGCTTCTTCCTCCTGGGCTGCTGCTGTGTCACGAAGTCTGTCTACCCTCCAGTGGCTGAGATCTCCTCTTTGACTTTTGGGGAGGAAGGAAGGGGAGAAAGAAAAAGTGCAGCTGTGTGCACCAGAGAAAAGCTTCCTCAATAGCTCTCTCCTGCTTCATCATCCAAGGCTACTGCTGTGTCTCCAAGCTTTTCCTCCCTCCATTGGCTGAGATCTCCTCCTCCTCCTTTGGAGAGGGGGGAAGGAAGGGGGAAGGAAAGAGAGTATGAGAAATAGTCCTGTGACACATTGAAGACCAACAAAGTTTAATCCAGATACAAGTTTTTGTGTGCTTGCACACTTCTTCAGAGGGAGGGAGGGTGATTTTTCTGGCAAGCACAATTTACATTAAGATTTGCTGTTTACTTTGAGTCCTGATCACACATGCGCACGATAAAAGAGGAAGGGGGCAGGGAAGAGATGCTTTTGGGATAAGGGGAATTAAAGTGAAATTATTTTGGCTTATTCCGAGAAGTTTTTTTATTAGATTTCTCTGTGCCTATCTGGGATAAGTATTTCAAAATACATTTATGGTTCCATATATTCCAGTTCAACACATGGTCTCCCTCTCTCCCCTCCCACCTCACTGCCTGCCTTTCTTCACATTAACCCTCCCCCTTGCTTTTTAACTGTTTCATGATCATCACTAGCACTGAGTAAATTTTGTCCAATCTGAAATCCACACATTATTTCACTTGGAGAGAGCCTCCTTTCAAGTTCTAACAGATGACAAAAGGAAGAAAGAAAAGGAACCTAACAGTATAGCTTACAATCTTTATTAGTAGAAGGGAGCAAGACTCCAGTAGTGCCTTAATGACTAATAAAATTTGTGGTAGGGCATGACCTTTCATGAGTCACTGTTCACTTATTCAAATGCAGCTAGAATGTGAGTCCATCTGTCCTTTTATCTTGGAGAGTGAAGTGATTTCAGATGCCAAATGACAATAGCAGGCATTGGTAGGGTATGAGCTCTTGTAAGTCACTGCTCATATCTTCAGAGTTATGTATTCTTTGCATCCTCCTGGAGCTAACTGAGACCTAGGTTTCCTGTCTCATTACCAATTGTTACCATGTGACCATTTGCATTTGCATATTGCCTGTATTGTGCTTATGATATGTTGCCTGCATGTATATGTATCTGTGCCCTTGAGAGCCGGAGGCTCATTGCTATGTGTGTGTGTGTTGCCATGGACTACGATGGCAGGCCTTGCACCCCGAGGCTGCCCACAGTGGGGGCCTGACAGGGATGCCTGCCACCAAGCTTTTTGCCTGCCCTGGAAATTTCCACTGCACCCTGGACAAAAGCAGATGCCTGCTCTGGAATGCTGCAATGTGCCCCAGTACCAACGAGGTCACCATTTGGGGTACACAGAGAGACGCTTGGATGAGCAACAGATCTGACCAGCAATGATGGACGGTGGGAAGGAGTACAATTCCACCTCGTTATCTGAATTGGCATCGAAAAGACAACATCTTTTATGGCTTGGGTACCCAACATCTGGCAGCAGCAAAGAAGTTGCCAGGGAAACGGAGGTGCAACCATCACCAAATGGCCCCGCTTTGATGTAGGATAGAAGAATCTGCATATTATCCACTACCCCTCTTGTAGGGCGTCACCCCTGCCCAACCTATAGCTTAGGAGTAGAGGACGTACCCCAAGTTTTATGATAGACAGAGACTGCCCCAAAAGGCAACTCTTAAAAGGAGAAACAAGCCTTTGTTCTCCGGCTAGCTCACCCTTACCCCTAGTTTGCACTAAGGTGCTGCAGGTAACTCTTAAGTTCCCCGGAGTCGCGACCAGGGAGCGCACACGTGGCTGTGGCTGGCCCCAGCCTTTGTGTGTCTAGAGTCCACCAGCTGTTGCCTTGGCTGCCCGTCTTGGAAGAGGAGATTTCTTCTCTCAGTTGGATCTCAGATGAGTATGATCGTATACCTCAGAGTCATCCCCTTTGTTTGATGCTTTTGTTGTTTTTCATGCTTATTGTTTTCTTACCCTATTGTAACTAAGGAGCTTGTGTGAATTTGTACGCATCTGTTTTGGTATGTCTGAACAATTGCTTTAGTAAAGACAACTTGATTTTAACCCTAGCTGTTGTCTGTCTTCCTGGGAAATAGCGGGCTTTCAACACGCGCCAAAATCCGACCTCTGTATACACGGGTTTTGAACTCACGCACCGCCCGTCTCTGTACTCAGAGTCAATCTGGGCTCCCAGAACCGGTTCCGGTCCAGTTCGGGTAACACAATGCTGATATCTCTATGCCTATTACCCCTCTGCATATGGTGTCAGAGAGATACAAGGTAATTTACTGGTCTTTGTATTTTCAGTGGGTAACATACACACATATACTCATTTTCGTTTAGAGAAACCAGGGTGCAGCCTGACACCAATAGCATCACTTTATATCTACATGCCTGCCCAGAGTTAAGCACAGGAATGCTGGAAAGAATAGGTTAAAAATCATGGCCCGAAACATATTCTCCCTCTGCCTACCTTTTCAAATTTTGTAACATCCATGAAGAAGAGTTCTGGTAAACTCAAAAAGCTTGAACACTATTTTGTCATTTGATTGGTCCTAATAAGAAGTATTGCCCAAATATACAACCAAGGCTATTTGAAGGTGAAGCTTCCTGACTAGTACTTGGTCTTTCTTCCCTGACCTTGTCATGAATAACGGGTTTTGTCTTCTTTCTTCCAGTCCCAGGGTTCCACAGTTCCAGCAGAACTTATGAATGGGCTCCACAACAATGGAAAGACTGGCAAAGGAAGGGCTCAGTTCATCAAGTGCTTTGTCACCTCAACTGCTGTAGCTGATAATTAAACTCTATTTTTCCAAATGGGCCAAATAAGGGAAGCACCTTTCAGATTTTCCTTATTCAAGCTGTCTGGTCTATTTGTTCTTTCTTTGGGGCATTAATAAACTGTTGAGCAGTTCATTAGTTTCTGAGAAGCCAGTCACACGACCAGCAACTGGGAATGTGATATTTTCTCCTTTGGAAGAACAAGTCATTCACAAAAATAATTTTTCTTCAAAATTCCAAAGACAGAATTTTATCAAGCCTTTACATAGAGGAGGTACATTCCGCATTGTTACTGGCAAATTACATTAGCATATAGATGATGCTGTATGTCTAGTGCTGGAACAGGAGTGTCAAGCCGCCAGAAAAATTGTTCTTCAAGAGCAACTCCTATTACATGAAAAATCTATGAATTTCACTTAATATTAAATGACATGAAAGGCTGTTGAACAGTACATGGAAAAGGATGCTTAAATAATATCAATAAATTGTATGTGGTACATCAATAGTTGTATGGCTATTCTCAAATGAATTCATGAATTATAATGAAAAGCTGCACCACTTCAGTCTCTTTGGTATGAGTGTTTAACATTTTTTGCTTGCTTCTCTCACTGCTTTGAAATATCTGCCTGTATGCATGAATAACTGTGTGTCCTAATAAATGCTACTCAAACCCAGTCAAAATGCATGAGAGCCAGTACAAATGTGCTCTTGTGTATGAGACACACTGGAGCTTGTCCAGAAAATGTTCCCACTGGAGTCTGCTCAAGGCCTTTCAATGTGGACAATTTCATTTCCATGTGAATACTGCCTTAAGAAAAACAAGGAAATCTTTTTCAAGCAAGGCAGCCAACCTTGGATACGACTCCACTTCTGGAGCCAGGAGACTGAATTTAATCACTTTTTGATGGCTTGGAGATTTTTCTTGTATCAAATTCCAGGCTAACAGATACTGCCACGAATGAATAAAATAACCATTAGAAAGGAACCAATCAGCCAAAATTTAACAGACCCATGTAAAAATGGGGATACAGAAGGATTCAGAGAAAGTATGATCTGATCTGCACTCAGAGTCCAAGAAGAAAATGTCGTTCGAAAAGCAAGCAGGATGGATCAGGCTTTAACCTTCAAGAACAGAAATTCACTACCATATTTTATCTGGTGGCAGTCTGATCCTGTGACATGGAAAGAAAGAACAAAAGGGGCCAGAATGGAGCTTTGCTCACAGAAAGTCCAGACATTTCCCCCTCAGTTCCAACTGCCTAACAAGCTTTAGCAGCCTAAAAAAGGAGAAATCATAATTTATTCAACAAGATAGAATTCTGGAAAAAAAAAAGTCATCCTGACTGTTTAACCCAAGACCATGCCCAGATGATCAGTGAATTTTTCGCATGGTTGACCCGGAACTTGTTCACCTCACAGCAGGCCCGTAGCTAGGACATTTTTAGTGGGGGGGCCCTGGGGAAAGTGAGGGGGCCCCCAAAAGCCATGTGCACTGACATCACAAAAAGTGCACTGACATCACAACAAATAAGAAATCAAATAAAAATATGCTCAGCACTGAGATGCACCCCCGCTCCCTCCCTGATGCCTAGCCAAGGCATGGATAG